TCTGCTGAAATACATGTTAATCAATTAGTCAAGAGATTTTGTCAGAGATTTTCAATGACTCACAGCCAAGATAGAGACTCACAAGACTGCTACTAGCAGTATAATTGATAATTGTAGCAACATCTGTTTGGTCTAAATACATATTTGTTAATCTCCTGCAGCTTGCAAACATCTGCCATTGACTGTATGAGGCTCTTCCATTGAGCAAGTCAGGCCACCCCCGTTATATAGCTAAAGATCCCCATGCACACACAAGGAGGCATTATTCCAGGTTGGGGAGAATGCAAATGCTTGCGGAAGTATATACACATGCACAGATGCACATACAGAAAGCAACAGTAAACTAGAGTATTCCTGTTTTAACCCTAGATGGCAGCTCAAGCCAAGGCATGCCACTTTAAAGTCAAAGATAATTAGGGAGAAATAAAACCACCTGTGTCAAAGATTTGATTGCAATTTATTGAATACAATGATGAAAGAATATAAATAAGTGGAAGAAAGCTGATACTTCCATATTCTGTGGCCACAATGGTCATGATTAGGTAATGGAATGCTCCACAGGCCTCTTAAGTTGCCCAGGGGAGCAGGCCATAAATTCCTTCCTCCAGGTCAAGAACAAAGTATGTCTTGCAATGGATTTTGTAAAATACCCCTCTCCCACTGCCAGTATGTACACAGGCTCTAACCACTTGGAAGTGGTTCTTGGGAGTGAATATGCTACAAGAGGACAGTTTCATTCCAACAGCATAGGAATGAAAATGGTTGGGGGAAATGGTTGGGGAAATTAGCTTCAAGGCAATTTTCTCTGCTGCACCTCTCAACAGGCTAAAGACCATAAGGCCTTGGCATGGCTTCAAGAAACTTTCATAGCTTCATACAATCATACAGCTGGAGGGGTCAGAAGACCATCAGGTCCAACTTCCTGCTATTGCAGGACACCAAGTTACACCATAACGTTCAGATGACTGTCCAGACGCTTTCTGAATATCTGTAGTGAGGGAGAGCCCATAACTTCCCCAGGTAATAGGGAAGGTAATAGATTCCACCATTGTACTGTTCTGACTGTGAGGAAATTCTTCCTGGTTTATTTTAACTCAAGTCCATTATTCTGTGCCCTGAACAGTGGAATGACAAAGAAGAGATCCTGTCCTTCCTCTTTGTGACAACCTTTCAGGTACTTGTAGAGTGCTCTCATATCCCCCTCAGTCTTCTCTTCTTGAGGCTAAACATGTCTAGTAGTCTCAAATTTTCTTCATAGGGCTTTGTTTCCAGTCCTTGGATCATCCTTGTTGCATTCCTCTGATCCCTTTTCAGCTTGTCTGCATCTTTATTAAACTATGGTCCCCAGATCTGGACACAGTACTCCAGATGAGACCTAAATAGTGTGAGTAAAGGAGAACTAGTACTTTATGTGTTTTGGAAGGGGTACTTCTGTTAATGCAGCCTTAAATAGCATTTGCCATTGGATCTTACTGTTAGCTCATGTTTAACTTTCGATCTACAACAATGCCAAGAGTCTTCTCATTTGCAGTGTTGTTCAGCCAAGTATTCCCTATCTTGTAGTGATGCATTTGGTTTCTTGTTCCAAACTGGAGGACTTGGCATTTGTCCCTATTCAATTACATTCTGTTTTTCTCTGCGCAGCATTCTAACCTCTTGATATCACCCCATATCTCATCTCTTTCTTCCAGGGTATTTACTCCTCCACTCAGATTTGTGTCATCTGCAAATTTAATTTTTCCTTCGTACTTCATCTGAATCATGAATAAAAAAGTTGAAGAGTAACAGTCCCAGGACCCTACAGCACCCCAATTGTCACCTCACCTGAGTCTAAGAATGTGCCATTGAAGCCAATTGTGGTTACGCCTAATGGTTGTACTACATAGCCCACTTTTTGCTAGTTTGCTAATCAGGATGTACTGGGGCACCTTGCCAAAAGCTTTGCTAAAGTCCAGATAGATTGTATCTGCAGCATTCTCAAAGTCCATTTGGGAGGTTACCCAGTCAAAAAATAAAACTAGATTTCTGGTAAGATTTGTTCTGGGAAATCCATGTCAGCTTCTAGTAATTACTGCATTATCTTCAAGGTATTTGCAGACTGTTTATTTTATAATTTGCTCTGGAGTTTTTCCAGGGTTTGATGGTTTGTCAGGCTAACTAGTCTATAGTTCCCAGGTTCATCTTTTTTCTTTCTTGCAGATAGGGACATTAGCACTTCTCCTATCCTCCCTGAATTCTCAAA